CTGCGAAACGCCAGTTCTTAAGTCAAAATTTTCATTGCTGATCGGCCGAGGAAATTTGACCATATTAGCAAGTCAATTAAAACACAATAATATAATTCATTTAATGTTATTTAAAATAATTGTTTTGGACTTTGTCCATCATTTGAGTCGTCTTTCGCACCACTAAGTTTCGGAAACTATGTCTACTTCCGTCTTCAGAACCACGAACACGAACTATGTGAATCCAAGCTATCTAAGACCATTATTTGTGAGCCATCTGCGATTCTTTTTGTTCATTTGGAAACGTAGAATCAGTTAAATCCTGCAGAGTCGTGCTATCACGTGGTATGAAACAAGCCTATATACCACAAATCCATATTATGCTCATACATGCCCTCAGGTCAGGAATGAAACTCTGTAAAAATCATAAGACAACTATGAAACCGGAACATATGCCCTCTGCGCAGAAAGCCTCTGCGCAGCTCGGTCTGATATCTGGGCATTCCTGTTTGAATTAACCCGCTTATCGTGCTGATTGTTCTCGTTGTCATGGAACCCTTTATTGGCATATTTCCTTATTTTGAAAAAAATGACTAGAGGCTTATGACATCATCTTGCTGTCTGTCTGTGTATCCCCCTAATTTTATAGTCTCAAAAGGCTTATGGGATCGCCTTGCTCTCTGTCTGTCTGACTTTGTGTTACCTTCCCAAAATTTTTATCAGGAGCCTTGTGAGATCACCGCCTCTGTAGTCTAGTGGTCAGAGTTCCCGGGTTCGATTCCCGGCACTACCAGATTTTCTGAGTCGTAGTGGGTCTGGAACGGGGTCCACTCAGCCTCGTGAGGATAATTGAGGAGCTAATTCAAGGAAGTAGCGGCTCCGTTTAGAAACCCGAAATTAACGGCTGTGCGGATCCGTTGCGCTGACCACGCGGCACCCTCTATCCGCTAAAGTTGACAGTAACTTCGCCGACAAGCGGCGGTCGCTCGGTCGGGCTAAAACCACGGAGTTCCTGTTTGTGTGTTTATGATCCTCGTTATTTTTTTTCTTGTTTCTGTGCGGTGCATGTCGTATCAAGAAGGCTTATGAGATCACTTTGCTGTCTGTGAGTTCCTTTAATTTTTTCATTTTCTTTGCGATATGTCATATCAGAGGAATGCGGGAGTTTAGTTCTTCCCAGACGTTATTGTTAATTTAATCTAGTTGATTGTTGTTGATTGTTTTTATTATTTTTGAACGTGGGGGTTTATGTTTCCCAACTTCTTAGATTTCTTATAATTTTTACAACGTCCTTTCTAGAACTTAACACGTGGTAGCAGGAATCTGCAGGTGTCAGCTTGTAGGATCTTACAGACGCCTCCTGTTAGAAAATGGTTCTTTTGTTTTGACTGCATTAACTTGAGTTACAGCTCGTAGACAGGGCCGCCCCATAGCTCAAGCGGTTAGTCGCTGGCTTCTTATCGAGACGGCCCGGGTTCGATCCCGGGTCTGATCAAGTGGGATTTGTGGTGGACAAAGTGGTGCTGGGGCAGGTTTTCTCCGAGTACTTCGGTTTCCCCTGCCAATCTTCATTCCACCAATTGCTCCACAATCACCCTCACATATCATCTGGGCCTGGTACAATAGGCCAGAAGTGGCCGCAGTAGAAGGGACTTAGTCCCACCCCACTAGCAATACAGCTCATAGACAGTCCTGGACAAGAGAACTCATGTGTAGCTTGCTTGTAGACTGTTGGTGTCCATGCTTTGAGAATAGTACCACTGGCAAGCTTAATTCAGTAGATTTCCTTCATGAAGCCGGAAACAAATATTCTCCTAAAAGTTGCGAATTTCAAACACTCGCACGGCCGTGGAAACGGTAAAAGGAAAGTAAAACTATCCCTGTACCAGGCCGTGAAGGCCCATAGGGTTGTGAGACGTCGAGACTCTCATATTTTCTAGACAATCGGTTCAAAGCTGGCGGTAAGATTGTCAGCCTTACACACCTGCAGTTCTTTACCCCCCAAGAATATTCCTGGTACTCATTTCTGTTAGAAGCTGAGTCAACCTCAGGGCCATAGTTCTGCTAGAAGGATTAAGTCTTTAAAGAAATTCCAATGACCTAATCGAGACTCGAACCCGCGACCTTCCGGCTTGTAGCATAATGCATAAACCAACTACGCCACCTCGTGCCCCCACTCGCACGATAGGCGAAATCCAAAATTACAATTTTAAGCAAAATTATCGCCAAAAATCCTCTAAGCCTCAACTATTTTATTTATGGATGCTTGAACGTACTAACAAAATAAAAATAAAAATACATTAACCAACATACCATGCACACGTATTTCAGAATGCACATCAATTTGCGGTATAATACCGATTTTATAAATTGACGTTATGCTCTCTTGCTCTTTTTATGCATATTTCAGGCCACAAAATTAATTAGCGAATTGACTGCGAGTTTTATACAGCGCGTAATGTCCCGTGGGTGTCAGCAGTCAACTTCAGCAGCCCCGCGTAACTGCGAGCAGCACAGTACGCGTCTGCCTGCGATTGGTTGAGCAAACACATGTGAGGTGCAGAAACTTGCAATTGCCAAGATACTGTAACGTGGATGGACACAGCGTTGCTAGGTAACTGAGCGCGAAACACCTCGCGACCGAATACACGCAAGGCAACAGTGGGAGTGCGGCGTTTTCTATGGAGTCCGTGCCGTAATCGGTTGGTAAACACGTTCCAACAATATAGGCTGTTTTCTTTGTGGTCCGCGAGAGGCCTATGTAAGGGTGTTCGATGCACCAGACAAGTTATCCCTGTGTGGAGGCGGGGTCGAATACCTCCACCGCGACCCTGCGAGTCGTAGGAGGCGACGAAAAGGGAAGTCTCAGATCTTAGACAGTAAAATATAGTCGCGAGTCCCAAGGGTCTCGGACCCAAGAAAGACTGCTCTGGCAAGGGCCAGCAGCATATACAAAAGACAGACCCGTCCTCTCGTCAGAGAGGGCGCTCCACAAAAACAAGACCCTAACTGTCAAAGAGTAATATATATCTGGTCATGAGCCCAGATGGGGCTCGACACCAAGACTTACTGACTGACTGACCGTCAGTCGCAATGTGACTTTGACTTTGACTAGGACAGACGAGTTAGTTGAATTCTAGCAGTCGTCGAGTACAGTTGAAACACAGATCAGCATTCATGCAGAGTTAGAAGAGAGAGTTGGAAGCTAGCCGCCGCAGAATGCAGTTGAAGTGATAATAATTGTACTTGAGTGTGTAAGAGCGAGTGTGCAATAAAGATTCGCTAAATCCGAGACCCACGTGAAGTTATTTGCCGCGCTGCATAGGCAACACGCGACAATCTGTTTACTTTACTAAGACGAACCTTGAACATGCTAACCAGCGCCAGTGTTTCAGCGAATTTTCCCATATAGAACATTATAAAGTTAAAATAAGTGAAATTTGAATTGTCAGTAAAAGAAATTCGTGAAAATCGAAGCGCAGAAACGAATTGACGACAGAAAATTCTGTATTTCGAAATAAGTTCATAATAATTAAATGAACATTCACAGAAACAAAATCTATCAAATTTGATATACTTATGTATCGTCATCTTCGGGTTTATTACTTCGTCTAGCCTGGTACCCGGTCCATAAAGCATGGAACAACAATCCACACGTAAATCTGGAGCCCCGGGTTAGCGTTAAAGCTGATGTATAATGACGTAGTCCTGTGTTCTGCGTAAGCTCATTTCATGCCCATTTACATGCAAATGAATACTCATTGCAAACTTAAAATATATAGCAGTAGGGTCGGAATAGCTCAGTAGGCTACGGGCTGGGGTGCCAGTGTTGCATTCCAGACAATGCGTACACCGGCTCTGAGGCCCATCCAGCTTCCTAACCAAAGGGTGCCGGGTGCGATTTCCCCCGGGGTTATTTCGGCCGGGTCATGAAGCTGGCCATTGATTTCCACGTAATGAGGTTAACAGTGGTGGAGCTATAACAACATTGCTCATATAACTTCATGGCATAGTGCTTAATTAAACAAAGTGGCAGCTTTACCTTTAACAATAATTTCATTCTTAACCGTACCTATAGAAACATTAATAATAATTTGTCTTCAGTAACATTTCATTACTAAATTAAGAATATAATGAGAGACAACACAGCATTATTATTATTATTATTATTATTAGAGGAGGTGGGTTTCCCCATGCACTTAGACCAGTTATTGGTCCATTGTGCGTCCCACTTTAATTTATACTGTCGCCATACCCTACCGGTACTGGTGCGTACTATCAGCCCCGTTCAGCCAACGAGGTCGGCCGTCGGTACCTGATATTTCCCCCATCTACCAGAGGCATTGGAAACTACTTGGGCGGGAAATTGTTGCCTAATCTTGCTCAGAGGTCTCCTAGAGACAGCAATATTAAATAATGTTGTGAGATTTAGGATGTTGTGCTGTCTGCTTTGGTGTAACGACATGTAGTCTAGTAGATAGGTATAAACCTGAAGATGGAGGCAGTAATTTCCTCCGAACTTTGTGCCTAACAGATTACGCGTCATATTACAGAAGCCTGTAATCTTAAGTAATCTTGTAGAGTAAAATAAAAGTAAGAAAGTAAAGGTATCCCTGTAACAGGCCGTGAAGACTCATAGGGTTATGAGACGTTGAGGGTCCTACATTTTCTAGACAATCGGCTCACAGATGGCGGCAAGGTTGTCAGCCTTACGCTCCGGCCGCCCTTTATATTCCAAGAATATTCCTGGTAGTCATTTCGGTTAGAGGCTGAGTCGACCCCAGGGCCATAGTGCTGTTGGAAGGATTAGGGCAATTGAAAAAAATCCAGTGACCTTATCGGGACTTGACCCCGCGACCTTCTGGCTTGTAGCATAGTGCCTCAACCAACTACGCTACAGCGTGCGTTCACAAAATAATTTATAATGAAAAATTCATTAGTAGGATATATTCTGCTGTTACGAAAGGAATATAGATTCTAGGAAACTTAGAAAGCAAAGCTCTGTAGACATGAATGCTTACCGTGGTGCACTCTGTGCAGGGGACGGGCGCTTGTACCAGACGACAACAGTGCAGGCAGTGCTCAACCATAGCTTCGCGCGAGAGAGACCACGCGTAAGGTGCCTCCACGATCAATACACTGCCTGCAAAGATACAAGGGAAATTACCACTGCGAAATCCCCGAGGAGAAAATAAATGTGAGTAGAAATAGTGTTTTCTGATATTTATGTGTATAACTGAATAAAAAATTCAACGGCTCTTGTGAATACGGTAATTAATTTTCGGATTCCGTTCAAGTTGGGAATTTCTTGAACAGCTAAACGAATTTTACCTTTAAATTGTGGCTTTCTGAGTTGTGACAACGTATCGTCTGATAAGTGGTTACCAAACTGCCAGAAGAATCTTCTTCCTCGATATTGTATTCTGAAGATGGAGGCAGAAACTTTCTACGAAAGTTCTATAACCACCTATGACGTTACAATTTATCATAGCACAGAAAGTTAGAGTGTGAATCTTCACGACCGTGGACGCTTCATGTGTCATATAGCTGTTAGCTTCCCTGCAAGAACTCCGCTCACTTAGTGACGCAACAGAGCAATGAATCTGTAGACAAAGTGGTTGAGTAATGCACTTTTAAGGATGTCGTTAAAGGCCCTACTTCAGCTATACGTAACACTTAACTAATTTCATGGAACAGACTCTTTCTGGGTGAGATAATAACCACTCAGCTGCTTNACACTTATATATATATAGAGAGAGAGAGAGAGGGGGGGGCTATGTACATATATCATTTCCAATTTTTTACATATTTAATTGACCTAATCCTTCCAGCCGCATTATGGCCCTGGGGTTGACTCAGCCTCTAACAGAAATAAGTACCAGGAATTAATTAAAGGCTGACAACCTTACCGCCATCTTTGAGCCGATTATCTAGATAATGTGGGACCCTCAACGTCTCACAACCCTATGGGCCTGCATAGACTGTTACAGGGATAGCTTTACTTTATTTTTACATATTTGTGATGTATGTGGTCTAGTGGTCAGAGTTCTTGGCTACAGATCCAGATGTCCGGGTTCGTTTCCCGGCGCTACCAGATTTTCTGAGAAGTGAACGGGGCCCAGTAAGCCTCGTGATGATAATTGAGGAGCTATTTCAAGGAAATAGCGGCTCCGGTCTAGAAAACCGAAAATAATGGCCGTGGGGATTCGTTACGCTGATCACGTGACACCCACTATCCGCAAAAGTTGGCACTAACTTCGCCGACAAGCGGCGGTCGCTCGGTCGGTATAGTTCGCTTGCGGACTAAAACCACGGAGTTTTTTTTTTGTGATTAACTTAATCACTTTTCATGCCAATCTTCTTGGTTGACTTACTCTTATTGACAGATGTGACATCAATTCAAACACCAACTGCATTTATGGCCCCCAGTCTCACAATAATGAAATGGGGTGAGACGCCGAAACTCACCCATCTTGATGTCCCTGGTGGCTTCCATGTAGCGTCCCTTCTCCAGGGACTGGCACAATCTGAGCGCTGCAGATGCTGCAGGCATGTTAGCGTTCTTCCCATATGTCAGGTCTGGCACCTCGGAGACCCTGGGTCTAGCCTCAGGAGACTTTGTTCCAACTTTTTTCCTTGGTTTACTCTGCAGGAAAGTGCAAAAATTTTAGTGACAGTTTTGCAAATTAATTTATAATCAGATCATGGTCTGAAATGAGACTGTACTCTGCCGACATAACTCATAAACCATCTCTAAAGGGCCGTATATGCCCTGTGTGCCCTGTGTTTCTCAAACATGGTAGTTTTGGCAGTATTTTTTGCCTTTAACCGAATACTCAAAGGTAAGGCTAACAACCTCACCGTCATCTGTGACCCGATTGTCTACAAAATGTGGCAGCCTCAACCTCTCACAACCCTTACAGGTCGAGCCTCTTTATATTATGTCTGCTGTACAATATAGGACATCGACATGAATTTTAAATGTTTCTACATATTGGATTGGTTCCTGCATTGTGTTTCAGGTTCTGGTATAATTATTTATGAATTGACGCAAATGAACAGGATGCAAACACTGAAACACTGTGTGACGTCACTCAGGCGATATCACTGTAGTGACCAATCACTCTGTGAAGCTTTCTGACGTACTGGATTTGTAGGTGGGACGGGCGGTGTGTGTGACATTTCTTGTGCACTGTTCATGTATGCTGATTACACGTTTTGAAAGTTGGATCAATTCGAGTCGGCATAATTGCTTGTCACGATAATTCTCACTTCCTGATAAAAGCGGTTGTCGACTGTCATGAAAGGCCGTGTGATTGTTCTGTCAGATATATTTATAACGAACGGAATGTTGTCGGCAATGGAGTTTAAATGATTCAGAATCATTAGATCTCCTATTTTTAAATTCCGCCATTACCAGAGTCTTAGTAATGATGATGATTCTGAGAACGGTCATAACCAGATATACACAATAACACTGGATTTTCCATTTTTTAGTCTACTTTCCTCAATTTCAAAAAAATAAAATAGGCTTATGCGATCTCAACGTTACTGTGTGTCTGTGAACCCCTCCCCATATTAACATTTGAATGCTTGTATCAGTCTTATGAAATTTGGTATTTATATCACGGTGCCTGAGCATATCACAACGGCGTACTTTATAGAGCCCTCCCATCAGTCTGTATGTGTATTCCTCCTATCGCTGCTAGGCAACGGCTCGGTAAAGTGTAGTCCTTTCGTTGCTAGGCAACGGCTCGGTAAACACGCCCCCGCGACAGAGAATATACGCAACAATAGAAGAAATGTTGGACTCATGTATCTGCAGGTTTGTCTATCAGGTCGGCAAAGACGTTCTCACGCCAACGAAGTATTGTTGGAGGCGTCGTTTTCTATACCATCCATGTCGTTACAGAGGAAAATAGGCGACTAGTTCTTCCCAGAACTTCTTGTTCGAAAACACTGCACAAGTTCCATCACTATATAAGCTTCCCCGTTTCTTAAAATTAATTTTAATTCGTAACAACCTGCTCTGCAATTTCTACCGGTCACTGAATATTAATAGAATAATCAAATCAAGGAAGATAAGTTTAGCAGAGAATTTAGCATGCATGAAAGAACAGAGAAATGTGTACAAAGTCTCCGTTTTGGAAGCAAGGAACATAAATGCGAGTAAAATATTAAAATTTATCTTTGAGATATATGGCGGGAGGTTGTGGGCTTGGTTTGTTTGACTCCCCGTCTAGACGAGCGGCAAGCTCTTGTTGACAGGACGGCGAATCTCCTCGTTGCATAAATGGCATGAGATTACTTGATTCTCGCCTGTAATGTTTTCAGGACAGATTCAGTTCCTTGGAATTAATTAGTTATGCAATCACTGCAAAAAACGACGTCACTTCCCTGTTTCGTTCTAAATACTTCGAAACGTAGGATACATGGATCCGTAGTTGTTCCATAATGTATGAACGCTAAATAGAATTTATTTTTATTCCGTAATGGGCGTTGTAGCAGGTCTAAGGTTGTTATATATACATAAGCCATGTAACTGGGAACCTTGTCTACATATATTTAAAGCTTCAGTGCCCACCTCACAAAAAATACACTGTTATTGAATTACAAATGTCTATAACATATTGCTCTTTAGAGATTTCAGTCATTTTAGAATGAAGACATCATGGCATGCAGTACAGTAGTTTAACGTGCATAAAGACACCTGAGGATGGCACATTAGTGCCGAAACATGTAGTGTGGAAGTGAAGAATAAGGTGAAAAAGTGTATACACTGTAAGACGGTCAGCATGAACCATGGACTGGGCTCTTTAGAGAGTTGGCCTAATCGCTGTTTATTCTGAGCACTGAACGAAACCCATAAATAAAAGGCAATGCACTTTAATGTTAAAGCCCATAGTACACATATTAATAACTGTCGAGACACTGGAGCCTTCGGCACATTAACAAAATAAATTAAATTTTAATAAAGCCTTTTTAAAATAAATAAAAATATCAATGTGTAAGATTTGAGGTTTTCACGGCAGTGACTATGAAGAAAGCAGTCTTCTGGAATGTGGCACCGTGTAGATGTGGTTTTAACCGACGTTTCGGATGAACATATCGCCTCCATCTTCAGGATAGAAGGAAAAATAAGAAAATCCGCAAGCTTGTACCGGTTCTCACGGTCTCTTCTACACGGTACCACATCCCAAAAGACTGCTTTCTTAAAAAATATCAATGGTTTAATTAGTTTTCTTTCTTCATTCAAAACTTACATGTTTCCGTCGCATGTGCCATTATCAAATGGTTTGTAAATAAATAAATAACATTTATTATTGAATTACAAAGTTAGATGGATCAATATTGAAATGAAAAGTATAATAAATTATTGTAAGAGATGATATAATATGGAATATAAATTATGGTGATTTGCCTAAATCGATAAAGGTTAATATAGGGTAGATGAAGTATAGTAGGGTTCTTATCAGTTGTTGTGTAGTAAGCACTATATATATATATATAT